TCATACGCAGCTGTCATCCGTACGCAAGGAAGTAAGCACAAGATGCCGAACACCCTTAGCAGGATGCAGCGCACCCTTCATGCGACTCGCCGAATATCTCACGACGCTTCGCGCTTGGTGATGTGAGAGCCTGGTCCGGTGAGAACCCGGCGTGCTCCGTCCCGGGTTTGTAGGGATGCGAGGTCAATGGTCTAACGACTACGGCATGCATGACTATGAGTACACCACCTCCCTCCCCCCCTCAGTCGTCGGAGAAGCCCCTTCCGGTGATCTCTGTCCTGGCGTTGTACGGAAACGAGAAGGGTCTAGGGTCTGACACAGAGGCAGACAGGCACAGAGAGACAGAGAGACTGCTCGCGAAGATAGAGCAGCAACAGAGATCAACGCAGAGAGAGAGAGAGAGACAGAGACAGAGACAGAGACAGAAACAGAGACAGAGACAGACAGAGGCCTGCCGACAGGAGAGCTATGCTGCCGACTGACGATGACGAACACGCGTTCACGCTCGCGTCCAAAGACGAACAAGCAAGGAAAATATCAAACGACTGCCCTCCCCGCTCTCCCCTCCATCTTGCGCTCCGTCATTTTCTTTTGACGTTCAGGTGGCTGGATTCGACGATTTCACCTCTACCGTCGGCGATCTGTGCACCCCCGTGGTGAGTCGCGCGCTTCCTAACCCCGCACTTTTTAGTTTTGGGTAGCCCGGTAACTACTAGGAGTATGTAGTTTGATAGATGATGGGTGTTTCAATTGCACTCCGACGATTTACGGTCTTTGTCACGGGCTGTAAAACGTGGGGTTGGGCTTAGGTTACGATCGTGGTCAAGAGTGGGTCAACACGCGCTCCCAGAGCATGTACGTCTGTGTTGTTGTAAGGGTATTCGTCATGGTGACTATCGATCGGCCTTACCCACATCGTCGATACCGCCACAAGTGCATATTCACCTCAAGAGAAGCGTGTGTTTTCTTATCGAAAGCGGACGTAAACTTGGATGCTTCTTGCTCGCACTTAACCCGCGCGCTCCCTTCGAGTGGCGAACAATCTAACTTTGCTTTTATAGGTGCTATGTTAAGAGAAACGTTTATTCCCTTGTTTTGCTGACGAAACAGCAGCACGGCCGTGTTAAATAGCAGACGCCCTTCAAGACGCAAACACATGAGCTCGTTACTAATGCATCCTTAACAGAATGGTCGAAGAGAACCCCCCCCCTCCATGCCGCCCTTTTTTTTTGTTCCTCAGACCGATGATCTCGAAGTGGTGACTACGGCCACCTGCTGGGACCACGCAGACCAGTGGCATTACATGACCGCATGTGAGGAACAATAAGAAATACGTGGCACGTTCATTGTAGGAAAACGGTTTTAGACCGTACGGGCGTGCGGTAGACGCATCGACGCTGTATGTATGCGAGGAACCAACTTCAACACGGTACAGACGAAACAATCCCGCGTTCACCAACATGTTGCCAGGCACTAGTCGTTCGCCCCTTTGGGGGAGGGTGGAAGCACTCAGCCGATTCCTCCGTGTCGCGCTGAATAGAGCCCTATTTTTAACGTAGACATGAACACTGTACAAGCTGAGAGGGTGGGACGAAGAAGACCTGTCTCCACGGGCGGGGGGCTTTCGGAACGAGTTTATTAGCATCATTTCCTGATTCCCTAGTTGCTTTCCCCAATGTCGATTCATCAATTATTGCCAGTCCTTCTCATCATTCCATTGCGAAGTGTAACAACTTGGGCCCGACACTCGACTACAAACAGGGGCTTTTGGGGCCGATAAATGCTTTTGTCTTATTCGACGGATAGAAAAAACGAGACGCGAGAGTTTCAGTAACCCTCCAGCTCTATATCGACCCAACGCGCGGTGCCGCTATACCGTTATCTCCTACTGCATTTATCACCTCTTATTGTCCGCGCACCTGTATGTTTACTACAAACCCTCTTGCCGCGGCGGCTCGACGTCATGACGTCCAACGAAATCGATCAGATCTCATGATGGCAGTGGTTTTCGTCGCCATCGAAGGTGTCAGGCGGGCTGGTGTGGGAAACCTCGACGAACCTATCTTGACCGAAGAGGCAGATGCCTTCAAGGACTGGTGAGCCCAACAGCGTATCAGCGCAACCTGTTTGTTGTTTTGTACCATTTCGCGGTCTGACTGCGTACTTGTTGCAAGGATGGCAGCCAGTAAAGTTCTCCATCGGCAAGTCGCTGGCCTCTCTTGATTGAGGGAGACAATAAACGCCGTGAGTATACATTAGGATGGAATTGGCTAGTAGTTAGAAATGGTGATTCGACGACGTGGTCAGCACTGACGATGGAACGGAATGCGTTACTCTCTCTTTTACTTTCCGTTTTAAAACCAAAACATTAAGATCGAGTCAACCGCAACCACTATTCTGGATAGCGATTGAAAATTGTTGACGGGTACATGACACACACATGTGTTGAGTGAATGTTACAGCGAAAATTTCATTTTTCTAAGCTTTGACGAGTTCCAAACTAACAACATATTCGCCTGATTGAGAGCGAAGTATCTGATTGAGAGCGAGAGCCAAAAAAATTGAAATTTCGGGTCCAGACGCCTCTTGCCATTTCTTGGCAAGTAGGGGACGGGCTATTCCAAGAAGCGGTGCAAATTGAAGGTCTCATCAGCAGCTTCGCGAGCATATGCGTGTCATCGTCATCGGATGCTGCAGCGAGGAGCTAGACAAGTTGCTAGATTTGCCCAGATTGGCTATTTCTGCTCAAACTGTTTCAGGGCGGTATCGCGTCGGGCGGTGGGCTCTGCTGTAGCTTCTGCTCCCCGCTGTAGCTCCACAACGAGAGACTCCCACAGGATAACCAGGGTAGCGGCTTGAAGCTACGGGCTAGCCCTTCAATTCAAGCTACACAGCAAGCTCCACCTCTCAGTGGTAGTCCGGCTACAGCGTATCGCGCAATCTCGCTCTCAATCAGATGTTACGCTCTCAATCAGGCGAATATGTTGTTAAAACGTATTTTTTTGGAACGTAGCTTACCCTTTAAAGCAGAATGTACCTGTCCATTGTGGCTTTGGTCGTAGATAACAAGAAGCAGCTTTAACATTTCGTCCCGCACCCACATCACGTCGAATTACTTCATTCCCTCGGTACACCACACAGCTACCCTGTCGACGCTGATAAGGTTTGTGGCCGGTATCTTTCTGTCGGTACCTTGCGTGTGTTCTTGTTTCTGTCCATCCTCTCAGGTACGGCGACGAACCTCCCACTACCAGCCCCAAGGTCGAGGAAGATAAGTCGGTCGCGGTGGTCGGCGTTCCTGTGGCCTAAGTTTCCTGTTTCTCTTCTCATTTTCTGGAAGGAAGGCAAACCTTGTGCCACATTTTCTTTCCTTGTAGAGTGATCACAGGTGTAACAAGAACACTCGCGTTCAGAGTGTTGATGTTTTTGGTTGGTTATGCATATACGTTGCTTTGCTTATGGCGAACCGAACCTCAGGGCAATGGAGGCACATAGCAGTGCATGAGGAAAGCTCTCGACGGCCTCACTTGTTATAGTCCGGCCCTCCCTGCGTCGGCAAACGAGAGAGTGTCCTTCTGTTGACAACCGCCGATTGAGGCATCCGCCCTGAGTACAGAGCATGCCGTGAGCTCAGAGCAGACACTAAGCGGTTAGCAGGCGGCAAAGTTCGTCCCCGGGGCTGGCCGAACGAACACTATAAAGGCACCGCGTACCGCAACAGAGCCAACCTTGACTTTTTGGTTATTTAGGTTAGGGTCTTCAGATGTTTCCGCTGTTCAAGTATACAAATACGCCGATGTAAATATGCGTGTGTGTTACGGATTGGTTTTTTGACACATGTAAAAAGCGCAGCCCGGTATCTGCGGGGGTCCCCAGCAGCTTTGCGCGGGTCGATCGTCCACTGGACATTTTTAACGCGTCTTTTGAAGATTCTCGGCCCGACGACCTCTTTGTTTTTTTAGTGCTACCCCAACTTGTGGCACTTGTTGCCTGTGTTGCTCGAGAGCGGCACTGGGTATCGTAATTCGCCGGAGGGACCCTCGTCCTTGACGGTTTTTCGAACGAGAAATTCGTATTTTTTTCTTGTGCGGCTGGATCGAGGCCGCTAAACTACTACCGGAGGGGTATCACAATGTGTTTTTAAGCGGGAACGCCCCGCTCAAGTGTGACAAAATGGATTGCAAGCGGGGATGGGGTAGCACTCTGTATGTGACATGAGTCGAACACAAGAGCATAGTAGAATCAGCCAGTGATGAAAAGCTGGTTTTGTGCACGTTGTGTCCCTTCAGTTTTTCCCGTTGAGGAGGGGTTTCAGCCGGGCTGTTTGCATTGTCTGTGGAACCTGTGTTTTAGGTACATCAAGCATTGTGGGCTTCGCCGGCACCCATGTGCTGCGCGTTCAAACCTTTTCGTTGTGCAGCCTTTCTCATTTTGGTGTAAGGGCCTCGCCAACGAACGGCCTAGCCTCTTCCATAAAGACTACTTTTGTTCTTGAAAAATTTACGCTAAGTAACATACATACGCTGAGTAGCATACGCTGAGCAAGATAGTACTTCAGTATTTTGGACGACGCGCTCAGCTTGTCAAACGTAAGTAGACTTTCAGACATGAAGCATCGTTCCTGGGGCCACCCTAGCTGTCAAGATTCTCAGATTGAGTTGACTTGATGCGACGGCTTTTTGCGTTGGTCTTCCTTACAAAAACGATGTCCATTTTTACCGTAGGTGTCCGGACTTCCTTCACGTGGAGGTGAAGTTCGTTTCGGAAGAGTTCGGAACAAATCACAGTCCGGTTAATGAGTTTCCATGTCATGCCTACTGCAACTCACCAGCCTGGTTTCGAGTTTCTAGAAAAGAAACGTTTGGTCTTGTGGTGTACTTTATGATATTGTAATTGTCGTACCCGGGAGTTTACTCCTCCCTTGGCTCTCCGTTGCTGCCTTGCTGAGTTGTTAACCATCCTCGCCCTACGGCAGGTAGCTCTTAGCTCTCCCCGCGAAAGAACGTAGGGTGGGGCGTTTCCACTTATAACAATTTCAACACGCATCTCCATTACAATTGGGCCTGAAGCACGTGGTTATCTCCCAGACATGAGAAATGAATGGGATAGCACCAACTACATACGCGGCAGAATTGCGACCTAGCGAAAATAGGCGTCCGTAGGCACCGTCTTTAAGCCAAGGCAACCGTAGCGTGGCAAATGGCTTGGCCCAGCGGTTCTGAACACTTCCATTTGGCTTCCTCTTTTTTTAATGGCTGTTCAGCAGCAGCATGTAGAAGTTATTGTAAAGTATCGTTTCAAAAATCGTGTAGTATACAAGGGTGCTTCGTCCGCCCCCTTATCGGGGGGGCTGTCTTGCGTGATACCCGTAGGTGAACGGAAGGAACTTTTTTGGAAATGAACTTTATGGCCAAGTGATGTAGTTCCATCAATAGCCCGACACGAACCCATGGGCAATAGTATATAAATCAAGGGCGTGTTTAGTACAGTACGATACTGCCAGTATTTTCAGTATTGAAGTACCTTTGGCCATAATATACTATACTGCACGTTTTAGTACAGCTTTCGATACTGGAATAAAAATACTGCAC